TTCTAATCAGTGAGGTGTGGCTGAGCTCTGCCTCAGCCTGATGGACCAGCAGCATCAGCAATGATTCCAGGGAAGTGGGAGGCAGGTAGGAGTTAATGCCAGGCTACAGCAAAGATCCAGAACCTCCTGCCCACTGCTCCTGGTGTGTGAGGCCACTCCTCATCCCACGGGGGCTCCTCCTCATCCCCAGCTGTTCCCTTTCTGCCTGAGTGGCCTCTGGATCAGTGTGCTTGGAGATCCTCTGCTGAAAGGCACCAGAGAAGGGCAAAGACTGATTATTCTGATTATTCCCACTGCCTTCCTGCAAGCTTCCTGGGGTTCTCCAGCTGGGAACTTGCTGGGTCCCCCTCCCCACATGCTGACTTGGTGAGAGCAGCAATTCCAGAGGATTGCAGGAGGGTGAGTGCTCTGCTCTTCCCTCTGGCAATGAGGGATCCTCGTGGCAGGAGAGCAGCTGACAGCAGGGAATTCCTCCTGGAATTTGGGAAAAAAACCCCAAAAAAACCAACATGAAGGCTCCCAAAGGAGCAAGGTGCACTGTGTGGTCTGAAGGAGCTCTGCTGGCTGCCCATGGGTGGCACGTGGTGACTGTCCCCCCCTCTCCTGTGTCACCTGGAGGAGTGGCTGTGAGACATTCCTGTCCCTATCCCCACTCTGAGGAGCACTGGGCTGGGCTCTGCATGGAGCCAAGAGTTTGCAAAAATCAGGAGTGATTCATTAACAGCAAAGAGGTCTAATAGTTGAAAGTGCTCCAAGCACATCCTCTGCTGGCAGGGAGGAGCCCCCAGCATCCCTGGCCCTCCAGGCTGGAGCATTCACTGCTCAGAGCAGGAGGCTGAAATAATCAGCAAAATCATTTGCCTTTCTAAGGGGACATTTGCTGTTTCTTGGTATTTTCTGCTGTGCAGCACTTGGTCTGCTGGAGCTGTGGCAGGCATGGGGGGACATCACAGCTGCAAAGAGCCACATCCCTGGGAATGATGCTCATGGAGCAGGCTCTGCTGGTGGCACTGGGCTGTGGGGCTCTGCTTCCAACCTGGCGGGGCTCATCCTCAGATGGGAGGAGCACCCAGGACACAGCCAAGTCAGAAACATCCCTGCTCTCAGATCAGCTGTGTCAGGACAAGAGGATTTCACTCATCTTCCCCTTCCAAGTGGATTCTCTTCTTTGCACCCCACTCAAAGGGCAACACCGACTGCCCTAACAGACCTTCCCAGTCCCCTAGAGCCCAGTGCCACACCTGAAATCCCCTGGGAAGCACCTGCCCGGTGCCTCTGGAGCGCTGAGCAGGAAGGAGGAGGTCCCATGGGGTGGGGAGGCAGTCCCAGGAGCCGGGGGAGCCTGGTGACAGTTCTGTGACAGTTCTGTGACAGTTTGTAAATCACAGTGGCACCGCCTGCTCCGGGCCGGCTCGCACGTCTGCGCTGTCACTGCCACCAAGCTGGTGACACCTGTTAGCAAACACCTCCCGTGCTCCTGAGTGACATCTGTGCCCCAGGGCAGGATGGTGAGCCTGGCGTGGGCTCCTCCTGGGTGCTGGCCTCTCTTCATCACCCCTGTGCAAGGTTGAAGTCCTGGGCTCACAGAGCCCCAGTGCGAGGCCAGCACTGCCCCTGTTTGTCCAGCACATCCTAGAACATTCCTGACCCTCTGTCTAGACCAGGCTGAAGTCACCTGATTTACCTAAAAAGTCACTTTTTGTGCATACTTCAGCTATCTTAGAGCTCCCTGAAGCCACCCAGTGTTTCCTCTCTCCAGCCAAGGTGTTCCCTAGGTCAATAGCTGCTTGTGCCTTTGATGTGGGAATTGTGCTCTGTTTGCCAGGAACAAACCACCCTGTGGGTGAGGGTGTTGACACAGGTGAGGGTTTGATTCTGCAGCTCGGCTTGAGGAGCAAAGGGGCTCTTGTTCTCCACATCCTGGGAAGCAGCTCCAGCAGCCTCTTGGTGCCCACAAGGCCTCAGCACTCAGTGAAGGAGGTGCTCAAACTGCAGCAGAGTCCCAAGGGCCCTTTTGTGTTTGCAGTGAGGATTTTGCAACTTGAGGAACCTCCTGGCAGAAATCTCTGCAGTTTGAGTTGGGAAATGTTGGTCTCCATTGCCTGTGTCTCCTTCTGCATCTCCCTGTGAGGGTACTGAGGGCTGGGAGCAGCTTGGCCAGAGCAGCTGTGGCTGCCCCTGGATCTCTGGAGGTGCCCAAGGCCAGGCTGGGCAGGGCTTGGAGCACCCTGGGATAGTGGAAGGTGTTCTGCCCATGGAAGGGGTGGAACAAGATGAGTTTTAAAGCCCTTCCAGCCCAAACCTTCCCCTAATTCTACGTTTTTAACTGGATAAATATATCCAGAGCTGCCTGTAACTCCAGCAAAGGGCAGCCCCCACCAGCACAGAGCCTGCTCAGTATGCAGCTCAGCAGAGCCTTTAACATTTCACAGAACAGATGCCCACTGAGCATCTTGAAACAAATCCAAAGGTAGCAGTGACGGCTGCTGTCAGGGAGCAGCAATCCCACGGCCCCACGTGCCACGAGGTGCTGCTGCCACGGCTCTGTGTGCTGACAGGAGCTGGGTGCAGTGCCCCAGGCAGGCAGAGCAGGACAGGGGCTGTCAGAGACCCTCCTCTCATCAGCCAAAATTCCCTTTCTGCTGCAGCTGGCCCAGGGCAGGGAATGCTGGTTTTGGTTCTGAGCTGCATCCCGCTGGATGGAGCAGCTGGGATGGATGGGACACAGCACCATCAGCTGCCCACCAGGGATGGGGGGCTCATGGGGCAGGACTCACCTGTGACCCCAGGAGGACAGGCACTGCTGGTTTGTGGGATAGGGACTCACCTGTGACCCCAGGAGGACAGGCACTGCTGGGTTTGTGGGGCAGGACTCACCTGTGACCCCAGGAGGACAGGCACTGCTGGGTTTGTGGGCCAGGACTCACCTGTGACCCCAGGAGGACAGGCACTGCTGGGTTTGTGGGGCAGGACTCACCTGTGACCCCAGGAGGACAGGCACTGCTGGGTTCATGGGGCAGGACTCACCTGTGACCCCAGGAGGACAGGCACTGCTGGGTTCATGGGGCAGGACTCACCTGTGACCCCAGGAGGACAGGCACTGCTGGGTTTGTGGGGCCAGGACTCACCTGTGACCCCAGGAGGACAGGCACTGCTGGGTTTGTGGGGCCAGGACTCACCTGTGACCCCAGGAGGACAGGCACTGCTGGGTTCATGGGGCAGGACTCACCTGTGACCCCAGGAGGACAGGCACTGCTGGGTTCATGGGGCAGGACTCACCTGTGACCCCAGGAGGACAGGCACTGCTGGGCTCATGGAGCAGGGACTCACCTGTGACCCCAGGAAGGACAGGCACTGCTGGGTTTGTGGGGCAGGACTCACCTGTGAGCCCAGGAGGACAGGCACTGCTGGGTTTGTGGGGCCAGGACTCACCTGTGACCCCGGGAGGACAGGCACTGCTGGGTTTGTGGGGCAGGACTCACCTGTGACCCCAGGAGGACAGGCACTGCTGGGTTTGTGGGATAGGGACTCACCTGTGACCCCAGGAAGGACAGGCACAGTCCTTGCTGTGGCTCTCAGGGCAGTGCCACTTTGGAGGTGACACTCAGCACTGCTGGGGACAGTCACTGAGTAAATTCAGCATCCTTCTGAGTGGTCTGGAGTTCCCCACTGCTGGGGAGGCAGGGAGTGCTGGATGTGCCAGTGCTCAGGCTGCCTGGGGGGCTGGGCTGGAAGCAGATGGTGCAGGGCAGAGGGGACCAGGGCTGTCCTCAGTGGATGGCATCCCCAGGGCACCCCGGGCTGTCAGCGTGGGCAGTGACAGCCAGGGCCTGCTGCTGGAGAGGAGATGGAAAGGAGGAGATGGGGGGAATTGCAGAGCTGGTCCCAGGAGCTCCCAGCAGTCACAACAATAATGTGACAGGTCCCCTGCCTGTGCTGTGCTGCCAGTGGGATGCAGGGCTCTGTGTGGGGAGCAGAACTGTCAGGGATCACTCACCCCATCAGGGCAGAGGGAAAGCAAACGTGGCTGTTTTCCTGTGCTGACATCCCAAAGAATGACATGGGGGCTGTGTGCCACTGAAGCAGGGCTGAATTCCCTCTCCTCTCCCCATCTTCTCTGGGTGAATAAGCAGCTCCTGCTCCTGGCTCTCCCAGTGCCACCGTTTCATTACTGTCCCCTGTCCCACCCCACGGGATCAGGGTGCAGGAGGCAGTTCACCACAGCAGCCACACCTTCCTCCCCACCCCAAGCAACCAAACACCCAGAGAGCCCCAGTTTCAAACTTTCCCCAACTTCAGAATATTCCAGACAGTCTTCAGCATCCACGGAGTGCCAAGGGGCAGGCAAATACAGGAACAATTAATCATCCCCTGGCTGAGCTGAGCTGCTCAGGATTTTGGCAGGTGCCAGCTGAGCAGGGACACAGCTCTTCTGGGGAGCAGCCTGGATTTTCAGCACTGATTCTGATGTTTCCTTGCCCTGACAGTTTAAATCTCTGGGCCTTTGCTGCACTACAGTGCCAGAGGTGAGCTGGAAATGGGGTGTGAAAACTGCATCACTGCTGCACCACTGGTGCCTCCTGTGGTACCTGGGCTGGGCTGATTATGGGATCACACCTGTGGGAAGGACAGGTTGGACCAAACATCTTGCTCAGGACAGGCTCATTTTCCCAATGTCATTCCCCACCTTTTTTTTTTTTTTTTTTTTGGGAAATCACAGAATGGTTTAGTTTGGAAGGACCTTAAAGCTCCTCTCACTCCATTTTCCACTATCCCAGCTGGCTCCAAGCCCTGTCCAAGCTGGCCTTGGACCCTTCCAGGGATCCAGGGGCAGCCACAGCTTCTCTGGGAATCCTGGCAGGGCAGGATTCCTTCCCAATATCCATCCAGCCCTGCCTTGTAGCAGTGGGAGCCCATTCCCCCTTGCAGCACCAGCAGAGTGCCGGGAGAGGCAGAGGGGGTGGAGGGAGCAGCCTCTGATGGCGCTGTCTGTTTTGCAGGAGACACAGCAGCCTACAAGGATGGAGTGTACTGGATCAAGGGCCGCACCTCCGTGGACATCATCAAGAACGGGGGCTTCAAGGTCAGCGCGCTGGAGGTGGAGCGGCAGCTCCTGGCACACCCCCACATCACAGGTGTGTGCTCCCTCCTGCTCCCTGCCCGTGCCTGGGGCCCCTCCCACACGGGGATGTTTGAACCCCCTGAACAGTTCAGTTCTCCCAGGGCCAGAGCTGAGTTAGCAGCAGCTCCTGTCTGATTTTGGGAATGAGGCTGCAATTAAACCTGCCCTGCCCTTGTGCATGACCCTGTGTAAGGGGTCAGAAGTGGTGCCCCCAGCTCCACACCACTCTGTACGTTATCTTCCTCCCCCTTGACTCCAAATTCTCAAACCATGGAGCTTCCTGCCCTTCCCACAGTGAAAAGCTCTGTCCTTGTGTCAGCACAGCAGCCCACAGTGTTTTCCAGTGCTGACATCCCTTGGCATTTCCCTCCCACTCACACCTGAGCCCCTGCTGTGCCCCAGGAGCCGCTCAGGTCCCTGAGGGGTCCCTGCTGTCCCTGCAGACGTGGCAGTGATTGGGCCCCCGGACGTGGTGTGGGGACAGCGCGTCAGCGCCGTGGTGAAGCTGCGCCAGGGCCAGATGCTCTCCGTGAGGGACCTCAAGGACTGGGCCAGGTAAAACCCCAGGGCAGGGGACAGGGAGAGCAGGCTCAAAGCCAGCAGTGTCCTCATGGATAGGATCACAGGGAAGGGATCCTAAGGCTCATCCAGTGCCACCCCTTCCACGGGCAGGGACACCTTCCACTGTCCCAGGGTGCTCCAAGCCCCATCCAACCTGGCCTTGGACACTTCCAGGGGATCCAAGGGCAGCCACAGCTGCTCTGGGCACCTGTGCCAGGGCCTCTTCACCCTCACTGGGAAGAATTAATTCCCAACATCCCATCATCCATCCCTGCCCTTTGGCAGTTTGAAGCTATCCCACCTTGTCCAAGCACTCCAGACAAGACCCTATAAAAAAGTTCTCATAAAAAGTCTCCTCTTTTCCCATCTGAACAAACCCAGCTCTCTCAGCTTTTCCTCATAGGAGAGATGCTCACTATGCCTTGGGTGGCTTGCTCATCCCTGAATCTGGTGCCAGGAACATTGGTGAACCAGCCAGGGGATCCCTCCATCCCCCAGCTGCAGCCTTGGGGATCCCCCAGGCTGTTCTGGGGGTCCCTGGTGCCGGGCAGGGGGCTTTGCCCAGCCCCCCTCCCAGCGCGTTCCCTGCACGGCTCTTCCGTGGCTGTCCCCAGCCCTGTGACAGGGACGTGGCTGTCCCCAGCCCCGTGACAGGGACGTGGCTCCGGTGCCCTTGAACGCGAATCCCCCGCAGGGTCCGGCTGCGCTCCCTGCCCAGCCCGCCCCCCCCTCTCGCCCTGTCTCTCCCCTTTATTTTTTATGTCACTTAGGCTGGCTGGGGCCCTGTTCTCGCACTCCCTGGCAGGAGACACATGTCCCTCTTCAGAGTGATTCATTTTGCGGCTTTCTCCTTCCCCGGTGCTCCGCGGCGACAGGCGCCATCCCGAGTTAGCGGCTCCATATGGCCGGGCGCTGGTGGCGGTGGCGGGGGGAGGAGGCCGGCCGGGGCTCCGGGGGCTCGGCAGCCTTGGCACCTCGCCTTGGAGCCAGTGCCAGGCACGGCCGCGGGTTGGTGGCACACGGGCAGCAGAAGGCAGGAGAGCCACCCCTGCGCTCGGGATGGGGCTGTGATCAATGATCAGTCACCCATCCCCTGGGAGGGACTCACCTGCGGCCCCTCGGGGCTGGCACCAGGGGCACGTGGGGCCCTGCACTGCCGAGTGATGTCCCTGCCCTGGGGACAGTCACTGCTGCAGCCGAGGGGTCCCCAGGGATGAGCTGGGAACAAACATCAAACATCCCAGCACATCTCCGGGGAACTGAGCCTAAATGGGCTCCTGGGGCGTGGGTGGGGGTCCCAGGTGGGGCTGGTTGGGCTGTGGGTGCTCCTGGGAAGGCTCAGCTGGTGCTGCCCAGCTGGTGCAGCCCAGTTTGGTGTTCCAGGGACACCATGGCTCCCTACGCCATCCCGACGGAGCTGATCGTGGTGGACGAGATCCCGCGCAACCAGATGGGCAAAGTCAACAAGAAGGAGCTGCTGAAACGCTTTTACCCAGCCTAGGGCCCACCTGGGAGGGTTTGGCCCTGATGCAGGACATTCTGCCCCTGAGGAGGAGCCAGGGGATCATCCCTGGCAGCTCTGGCTCAATCAGGCCCTTGATTCATGTCCAATAAAAGTAGGATTTGTCCCTCCTGGCTGAGCTGAGCCAGAGCTGCAGAGTTGGGGTTTCCTTGTGGGGAGCCCTTTGCAGGAATCACAGAATCACAGAATGGTTTGGGTTGGAAGGGACATTAAAATCCATCCAGTGCCACCCCCTGCCACAGGCAGGGACACCTCCCACTGTCCCAGGGTGCTCCAAGCCCTGTCCAACCTCGGACACTTCCAGGGATGGGGCAGCCACAGCTGCTCTGGGCACCCTGTGCCAGGACCTCCCCACCCTCACAGGGAATGATTTCCCAGCAGAAATAAAGAATAAATCTAAAATCACACATTAATACTGACTGTGTTATCCAGTGCATCTGCCACCACCAAGTGCCCCCAGTGCACTATTGATGAATCCCACCTTTCAGCGTGGGAGTTTGTCCTGTTTGACTCCACACATGAGCTGCCAGCCCCAGGGGGTCCAGTGGGGCCCCAGCTGGGTCCATCTGCTCTGGTCCTGTCCAGTGCTGAGAGGGTGACAGGCAGCTCCAGCTTTCCCAGCAGCTGATGGGGCTCTGGAAGCACCAGGGAGGGCAGGAGGAACAAGGAGCATGAGTAATTACAGGGATTCCTTTGTTAGGGTCACGAGAGCCCCAAAAATCTGGGAGGAGATGTGAGGGGACCATGGAGGGGACCATGGCAGGCACATGGTGCTGAGCAGAGCAGGCAGGGAGGGGCTGGGATGAGAGTGGGGCTGGGAAAAGGGGAAGGGGATGTGGATTGGGGATTGGGACAGGATTTCTCCAGCCCACTGCACAGGGGTCTGGCCATGGGCCTGCTCTGTCCATCCCTACACCCTGCCCACAGTGATCTCCTGGATTTCCGTACTTCAGGCTCAAAAGGACTTGAGACCGGGACACAAGGGACACCCAGAGCTCCTGAGGCACCTCTCAGTGTCTGTCCCACGTGGCAGGCACAGGGACACACACGTGTGCAGCCCAGCAGCAGCGGGAGGGCCCGAGCCCATCCTTTGTTAAAACATCAACGATGCAGTAAATTTTTTAACTTACCAAATAGATCAATATCAAATTATCATGTCTCGCATTCATAACTCTTAAGCAAGCAACAATGGAGAGAGACAAGGTCACTGGAGAATAAATAGCAGCAAAAGCTCTTAATGATCTATCATTCTCGACAACCCCGGGCACCCCGCACCAGCCCGGTGACAAGATCATTAATAAAACTCTGCAGGAACGCTATCGATTGCCGTGATGGATGATCACAGGTAGCAAATACTGTAAAACACCTGGCTGTCACACACAGAATGAGGAGTTTGACTCACACCTCGGCAGGGACCTGCCTGGGGCTCTGCCAGGTTTGCTCCTCGGGGATTTCCACAGGGAGGGGGTCAGGGGTGACCCCGGTTTGGGGCTGCCATCCCTGCTGGACCCTTCTGCTCCCAGCTCCACTCCCACATTGCTGTTCCTCTCTGTAGGTGGGGCCTGTTAATTGAAAGCCTCATTGAAACTCCCGGTCACAGTGGCTGTGCGGGAGCTGAGCTGCATGAGAAGGGGTGACCTGGTGGCACTGGATGAACCTGGGGACCTCCAGGAACACCAACACATCCAGCACCGTTGGGATGGAGGGGATCCCAGGGCCGTGGGCTCTGCTCCCCCCATGCTGCATCCCTCGGGGTGCAGGGGGGGCTCTGTGTGTCCCCCCAGCTCCAGGCACTTCTCTTGCCAGCCACATCGCCATTGACGGCGGGATCATATGTACACAACCATTCAATTACCCCGTAATGGCTGCAGGCGATTAAGCCATCAATCTCCTTCATTAGGGCCTGCCAGGCCCGGCCCAGCATCACCCAATAAAACCATTAAAACAACAACAACAACCACCACCCAAAGCAGCAGCTTTAATGCATTGACCGTAACCTCAGCCCATGACAGCGCTGGGGGTGTCCCCCAGCTGGGGACCCCCTCACCCCGAGGAGGCTTTGCCCTGCTGGGGGTCCCCAGGGAGCTGGGGGCTGCCCACCCCTCTGTGCCCCCCCAGCTCGGCACGCCAGGACCTGCTCTAGCACTTTATAGCTGACATTATCTTTTATTGCCATATAAAATCCAAGCTCCGGTGGCTTTATGGGGCTGTGCTGGCGTGTGGCACCTCTGCACTCCCAACTGCTCCCTCTGCCCCCCCCGGGCACTGCCCTGACCCCCCCCGGGCGCTGGGGTCACAGCTGGTCCCGCAGCACCACACCACACCTGAGGGACACGACTGGTGTCACACTGGGGTCACGGCAGCTCCAGCTGCACCCCACCCTGGGGATGCCATTGTCCCAGCACACACTGGGGAACGACTGGCCCCAACACCCGGAGTGACGCTTGCACTGCTGGGCAGGTCAGGGGAGGGGGAGCCCTCCAAAACCGGGTGACCCAGCACCCAGAGCAGCACGGGAAGTCGCAGTCCCGGGCTGGCCAACATTTGTGAGACCCCAAATCCCGGGAGCCGCGGTTTGCAGGGGCAGGGGGCGTCAGTGCAGGGCCAGCAGGGCCGGGTGTCGCTGCCGTGCCCCAGCCGTGGCCGTGCCACCGGCAGCCCCGTCCCCAGGAGCGGGGCTGAGCCCTGTCAGAGCCATCACGTCCGCCAGCCCCGCGCGGTGCCGGTGCCAGGGAACATCTGCTCGGCTGCCGCGGCTGGCAGGGGCGGGGGCGGCCGCCAGGACCCCCGGCCAGCGCCGCCGGGGCCGCTCCTCGCCCTGACACTGATGTGGGGTGACGGGGCGGCGGGGGGACGGACGGCACCGGACAGACAGACGGGCAAGTGAGCGCCGCTGCCACCGCCGCGGGTCACCCGTGCCCGACGCTCACCCGCTCACGACGCGTCCTTGGGGACAGCGACAGCCCTGCCACCACCGCTCAGCTCCTGGCCATGGACGGGACACGTCCCGCAGCCCTCCTCCCCTATCCCTTTCCCACGCCTCGTTCCCCATCCTGTGCTGGTGACCCGCACCGAGGGCACCCAGGACATTTATCCCCGAGGAAGGGACAATGCCGGGCAGGGTCGAGGTGGTGCCACCAGTGTCACCGACACATTTGCACTTCCTTACTCAGCCCAGGACGCGGTTTCCCGGGAGGGCAGGAATTCCTCGACCCCTTCGCCCTGCCCGGGGGTCGTGGGTCTCCATCCCGGCTGCACCGGGACCCCCGGCACCCCGCGCCGGCGGGCGGGGGACGCTCCCGGTGCGGCAGCGCGGGCTGCGAGGACGGCCGGGAGCGGGGCCGGTGGCCGGGACGATGCTGCCACCTGGTGCCACGGCACGGCGGCGGCGCCGGGACAGACACCGGGGGTCGAGGGAGACACCGGGACCGGGGTCGGGGGAAACACCGGGACCGGCCGCGGAGTCGGGGGAGACACCGGGACCGGCTGCGGGGTCGCGGGCAGCACTGGGACTGCCCGAGGGGGTCGGAGAAAGCACCGGGACCGGGGGGTCGGAGGGCAGCGCCGGGACAGGCAGCGGGGGCCGAGAGCCTTGTCGGGACTCCCGGAGCAGCCCCCGGCCGGTCGGGACCCGCCGGGCCCGGGAGACGCGGGACGCTGCCGGTCCCTCTCCCGACTCCGCACTGGGACGGGCCCCGACGACAGCACAGATGGCACCGGCACCGGGAACGGCCGGGGACGGACGGGCGGGCTCGCCCCGACGGGAGGTGCGGCCGAGCGGGGCGAGAAAAAGCGATCCCGATCCCGATCCCGATCCCGATCGCTGTCCTGATCCTGGTCCCGGTCCGGGTCCAGGCTCCTGTCCCACTGTCGGTGTCGGAGCCTGTCACGGTCCCGGTCCCTGTCCCTGTCCCTGTCCCGGTGCCGGTGCCGGTCCTTGTCCCGGTGCCGGAGCAGCGCGGGGACAGCGGGCCCGGTTCTCCCCTTCCCGCCCCGTCGCGGCATCCCCGGAGCGCGCCCGGCGGCAGCTGCCGCGTTCCGCCCGCCCTGCCCGGGGCTCCGCACCCCCGACCCGGCCCCCACTCCCCCGGCCCGGCCAGCGGGGACCCCCCCGCGCCCCTGCATCCCCCCACGGCCCCCCCACGGCCCCCGTCGGGCCCCCCGGGCCGGGCAGGGCAGGGGCTGCGGGCCGCGGGCCGGGGGCGGCGGGGCCAGCTGCCCGCGGGGGGGTCCGGTGCCCGCAGCACTTGTGCTGTCACTCAGCCAGGGCCGCCGCTATTTTAGCTCGGGGCCGGCGGCCGGGCTGTGCCCCGCTCCGCCATGGGCCCCCCGCTCCTCCTCGCCTGCCTGCTCGCCCCGCTCTGCGCTCGGGTAAGGGCTGGGGGACACCGGGACTGGGGGGGACGGGGGGCACCGGGCGGGATGGGGACCCCCGAGCCCCAGGAGGGCTGGCCGGGATGGGGAGCCTGCCCGCGGAGCCGGGGTCGGCCGGAGCCCAGACCTCGTGGAAACTCATCCCTGGGGGCAGCGGGGATGGGGCTGGGGGCGATGGGGGCTCGGAGCCCCTCTTGAGGCCTTTCCCACCCCACAGATGGCGGCGGCAGGGGGGGGCCTGCGGCTCCGGCACATTGCCTGCGCCTGGACCGGGATGGGCTGAGATGGGATCGGGGGCAGGGTTGGCCGCTTAAAGACACCCTGCTCCTCTTCTTCCCACCCCAGCTGTGGTCCCAGGGCTCCCTGCACCCCCCGGTCCACTCAGCCCCCCCCAGAGCCCCTCATCCTCATCTCAGGCCTGAGCCACGCGGGGCCGTTGGGGTTCTGGCCTGGAGCCTGTGCTCGGCTGCTTCAGGGCAGGGGAAGGAAAGGGGATCAGCCCCACAGGAATGGGGCCCCCAGCGTCCCCCCCTCACATCCCGATCCCCTCCAGCTCCAGCGGCCCCCAGGGACGGGCGGGGGGCTTCTCCTGCTGGAGGAGGGAGCAGAGAAAGGCCTGGAGGCCACAGCGCAGCCCCCGAGCCTCAGAACCAGCCCCTTGTCCTGCCCACCCTGTGGGGCTGGGACAGAGCCCCCCTCCCCACACCTCCCTCCCGGGGACCCCCGGCACAGCCAGCCCCACTGCCCCCTTCCCCTGTCCCCCATCGGGGCACACGCGGCCCCTGGGGCTCCAGGGACCCCCCGGCAGCCCGCGGTGCAGGCACAGCTGGGCACAGATGTGGGTGTGAGGCCGGCACTGCCCAGAGGCGCTCCCTCCTCGGGGCGGGGACAGCGCCTGTGCCCGGGCCCAGGACGGGGCTGGCGCGGAGCTGGGGATCGGTGGCTGCATGCACACCTCTCTGTCCCCTCCCCACCCCGGCTCCCACAGCCCCATGGCTCCAGGGCCCCCACAATCACCCCAAATCCCTGACCTCAGTCC